CAATCCCTCCTCCTCCATTCTCCTCTTGGGATCTTGGACACGCACGCACTCGCGCTGGTGTGAGTTTTAAGCCACCGAGTTCGGGACTCAAACTGCAGTCGACTACATGGGAGTCCAGCGACACAGCCATTATGCTAACTGCTGGTCCCTTATTTTTATATGTTTTTAAAGGGTTCACATGGAAACATTATTTTTTAAAGGCCTCAAATGATTACATAAAAAATTCTAAAAGGCTATTCTTTCAATGGTAAACTCTAAAAAACTGTATTATAAATAAATAATATATATATATATTTTTTGTAGAGGTTTTTGTCTTAGAGCACGTGCACTCACCAGACAGAGACAGTGAGAGAGAAAGTGAGAAATCCCTTCCCTGGGGGATGACCAAGCCACAGTCCCTTCTCCAGGAACCTTGGGCACGCATCCACATGCACCCAGCCTGAGTTTCAAGCCACTGGGTCCGGGACGTGAATCAGGTCAGCCATGTAAGAGTCCAGTGACATAACTGCTACACCATCTGCTGGCCCCATATTATAAGTATTTTTTCTTAAGACTTTCAAATGATTTTTATTACTACTCCATTATGATGCAAAATATTTTATCAAATAATTTTAAACTGGGGCAGCATTATTAGATTATAAACAAGATTATTTCTCCATTTCAGACAAGTCCATATTAATAAGCAAAATACCTGTAAATACAATAGTAATGCAAAATTAAGTACATAGTAGCTTTATAGTTTAAAAATGGAACCTGAATTATCATCTCCAACAATTAGACATGAGAAGATTCATTTCCTGGGACCAGCAGTTAGCATAATGGCTATATTGCTGAACTCCCATGTAGTCGACTGTGGTTTGAGTCCCCGACACGGTGGTTTAAACTCACACCCGGCGCGTGTGCGTGAGTGCCCAAGATCCCGAGAGGAGAATGGAGGAGAAGGGATTGCAGCGTGGCCATCCCCTCTGGGGGGTGATTTCTCGCTTTCTATCTCTCTGTCTTTCTCTGTCTGGCTGGCGAGTGAAAGTGCCCTATAGCAAAAACCTCTCCAAAAAAAAAAAAAGATTAATTTCTTTGGGGCTTCTGAAAATAATATATGCTTAAAAACAAAATACTTTTCAGGAGATATAACAACTCTCTGCTTAAATTACAGCCATTGTATGTACTCTTTGTCTGTGAGGTAATACAATACTAAAAAGTTATCTCCTCCCCTCCATATGTTTCTTTTTCAATCATTATTTTCCAACAGACCTTCTGTGAACCTGTCATGCTCACTAATGAGGAAACGCTTAACCTTCAATTCTCTATAAATAAAATGACTTTGATCACAGCTTCTTAAAAATATTTAAGTTTTGTAGCTGTGTATTTTAGTGTGAGGGCCCATTGATAGCTACTCTGTCCATAGTAGCTTCTACTTAAAAATAAAGTCAACCATTTTTTGATTATTTTATAGGCACTGATAGGTATTCATAACACAGAGGATGCAAGAGCAGAAGGGCCAGCATGATTGGGTTGGAATCCGGCCCCTCCTACTTACTGGTCTATAACATGGGCAAGTTAAGCTCTGTGTACCACACTTGACTAATCTGTAGGACAGGAATAGTAATATCTTCCACATGTTTTTGAGAGAATGCAATAAGTTAATGACATATGTTAATCATTAAGGGAATAAAATAATCATATATGTTAAGCATTATAGTGGCAAACTTACAGTAAATGTTCAAAATATATTATTATTGTACTGTAGCGTAGCTTTATAAAAATTTATATAAAATGCTTTATTTTCATAGAAAAACTCAAATAAGAAATTGCCAAGTCATTAATTTTTTATTAAATATTCCATTTAAAACTCACCATTTATTTGTAGATTTCCAAACCACTGTTGTATCATTTCAGTCTGAGGTGTCTGGTCCGGAAACGGGAAAGGAGTTTTTCCTGGACAAAGATGATTGGAGCTAGACGAACAAATTGCAAAAAACTCATAAACTAGTAAAAATTATCAGGTAACTTTTTCAGATAAAAATATTAGCAAAGGAAGATTTTTTTCTGATTTGAGTATCCAGAATATTTAGAATGAATATAGAAAACATTATTTGCATAACTAAATCGTCTCTATAAAGCAAAACTCCCAGGCCAAAATGCCTGGAGCACCATGGCAATGTTTCTATAGGGCTACTCCCCTCTGATACTGAAAACAGAAAAACCAGAAAACTAAAACAAAAACCTGATACTGACTGAAAAATCATTTTTCATATCAGTAGTCAATAATATGATTCCTCATCATTCAGTTTCTATTCCTCTATCTCTCATGTGTATATAGTTACAATTAAAATACATTAGGGATTAGACATATTTAATATATGCATTTTGTACTGGAGATCTGCTCCATATAAAATTAAAAATTAAACTAGACCTTCCCAACTATTAAACACATGGTATAATCGTATCTGTGAACACATACAATTATTTTTAAGGAGATTTTTTAACTACAATTCAAAATCATTATTCTTAGGAAATGAAATCATAATTGAGAAGTACCTCAGGCACACCTGATATTTAAAAAAACAAAACATCATTGCCCTACTAATCACCCTTACTTCAATACAGCTACATATTTATGCTAGTACAATGTTTACTGAAAAATGAAATGCATTTGATAGAATTATTCTTACAATGCTTGATCATTCGCAGGTCTTTCAAAAGATCTGGAATTATTAGATGTCTTTTCTTTAAAGACTTGAAATATATTGACATTGCTATTCGTGGGTGAGTATCTCTCATCATTTTCATCTCCTTCTGATCTTGTGGGCTTTGAAAGCATTTCTGCTGAGTGACATCGTTCCATTGCATGTGTTTTTGCTCGAGGTTGACAGTTAGAAGTGCCAGATCGGTCAGAGGAATGGGCTCTACGAAGATATCGAGAATGTGGTCTTTCTTCTGCATCCTGGAATACTCTTCCCCGTCCACTATTATTATTTTCTTGTTCTTGATTTCCCCAATGAGTATAAAAATTGCTTCCATCTCCAGAAGAAGAAAAGTCACTAAAATTTTTATTCTTTGGAAACATAGTAATTTTATTTGGGAGTGGTTGACCGATCAAAAGTCTTCTTCTGTCATACAAACTACCACTTATACTGGTACTAGAAGAAGCTGTAATTGCAGTAGAAATCGTGGCATGTCCACTATCAATAGAGTCTTCCACAGTTCCTAAATCTTTATTTTTTGCTGAAGAATTTCGGGACATAAAAGGATGGTCCAATACTGAAGACAAACTTAAACGATCTGCTGGATTTCTGCGAAGTAACTGGTGAATAAGGTCCTTGGCCTCTTTAGACAAAAAAGCTGGCATTTCATAATCTGCCAATACTACTTTATTTAATGTATTCTTGACGGTGTCAGTGTCAAATGGTGGTCTCCCGATAAGTAATGTGTAAAACATGCAACCCAAGGACCAAATATCAGATTCAAGTCCATGTGCACTTCGAGTTGCAATTTCTGGTGAAATGTAATTAGGAGTTCCACATAATGTATAGTGCTTTTCATGTGGCATTTTCAATTGAGTTGCCAGCCCAAAATCTGCAATCTTGATGTTCATATTACGAGTAAGTAAGAGGTTAGACAGTGTGAGGTCCCGGTGTAATATACCATGAGAATGAAGATACAACATTCCTGTGATGATCTGGTGCATGAAGTGTCGAGCTATTAGGATACAAAAAAGAATGTAGGATTTAAAAAATCTCAAAAATTTAAAAATATAGAATATATTATGCAACCCAGGTACATATGCCAAAGTATTATATTAGAACACTGGCTTCCAGCTTATGTTTATCAACTAAAATACCATTCTGATGATAAAATATTACCTGCTTCTCTTTAATAAAACTAGGCATAGGACCAGTAGGTGGTGTGGTGGTTAAGTTTTAGGAATATTTTCCTAACTCCTTTTTTTTTTCTTTTGCTACAGGGCACATATGCTCACCGGAGGGGAAAAACATTCTGAGCACATGTATGTGTGAGAGAGAGAGAGAGAGAGAAAGGGAAAGGGAAAGGGAAAGTGAGAAAGCACTCTCATGGTGGCTATACTATAATCCCTTCTCCTCTATTCTACACTCGGGATTTTGGACAACCACACAGAAGTTCCTGGTGTGTTTCTTAAGTCAACAGTTCTGGGACGCATACAGCAGTCGGCCAAGTGGGATCCAGCTGCTTTAACATCCATGCCACTTGCTGACCCAGATTCTTACTCTGATTTGAACTGTAAAAAATTATTTTTGAGACACTGGAACAATTTGAAATTCACTATATATTTGACAGTGAGGAATTATTAGGTGTGATAATGACTTCATGGTTATATTTTTTAAATCCATATCTTATAAAGATATATACTGGGGAGACCAGCAGTTAGTGTAATGGCTGTGTTGCTAGACTCCCATGTAGTCGACCATGGTTGGAGTCCCGGGACCGGTGGCTTAAACTCACGCTGGGTGCGTGTATGTGTGTGCCCAAGATCCTGAGAGGAGAATGGAGGAGAAGAAATTGTGGTGTGGCCATCCCCCCCCCGGGGGGGGGATTTCTTACTTTCTGTCTCTGTCTTTCTGGTGAGCGCACGCACCCTGTAGCAAAAATCTCTCCAAAAAAAAAAAAAAAAAAAAGATATATACTGGGGGCGGGGGCTAGCAGTTGGTGTGGTGGTTAAGAGCACTGGACTTCCACATGGCATACGGCAGTCTGAGTCCTGGACCTGGGGGCTTACTTTCTCGCTTTCTTTCTCTCGCTCTCTCCCTCTTTGGTCAAATTAAAATAAGTAAATAAACAAATAAAGGTAAATAAAATAAATCTTTAAAAAAAAGAATAAAAAAGATATGTACTAGGGGCTGGCAGGTAGTGGGGTAGTTGAGGTGCTGGACTCCCACGTGGTTGACAACGGTTTAAATCCTGGACCTGGTGGTTTGCTTTTTTCACTCTCCCTTTCTTTCCGTGTGTCTCTCTCTGGTCAAAATAGAAGAATAAGGATAATAAATGAAATTTAAAATAAATAAATCTTTAAAAAAATAAAGATATATACTAAATTATTTATATAAGAAAATGTCTGTAATTTGTTTCAACATAGGCTAGCAGTTGGCGTAGTAGTTAAGGTGGCTGGATCCTACATGGCCACCAGCATAGTTTGAGTTCTAGGCCCAGAGGCTTGAAAAACACACCAGGTTAATGTATGCCCAAGATCCTGAGAGAACGAGAGAGAAGGGACTGCGACATGGCCATCCCTCCTGGGTGGGAGCTTTGTATCTCTCCAGTCAGCACACACGCCCTATAGCAAATTAAAATACTAAGTACTCTGGTGAATCAGGAGAATAAGAATGATACAGATAAAACAATCTGACCATGAGTCAACAGTTGTGGAAGTTAAGTGATAAATTCATGGAGATTCATTATAGTATGCTCTCTACTGATATTTCACACTTTCTATAGTAAACTATTTCAATAGTTAGTTGATCTGTATTTAAAATTTCATAGTCATCAATTCTAATGACATTCTAAAAAGCTTTCTAGATATGACAGGGTACATATTATACATTGTCACTGATTTTTTTTAAATTAATTAATTTATTTTCAATTTGACTAGAGAGGGACAGAGCAAGAGAGAGAGAAAGAGAGAGGGAAATTGAGAAAGCAAGCCACCAGATCTGGGTCTCAAACCATGATCGGCCATGTGGAAGTCCAGCACCTTATAAAATGTGGTTTGGGGGAAAAAAGGACAACGACTTTCTCTCTCTCTGTTTTCTTTTTACTTTACTTTTTGTTATAAGGTACATGTATTTGCCAGAGAGACTGAGAGAGAACGAGACAGAAAGAGAGAGGGAGAAAGGAAGTGAGAAATTACTCCCCAGGTAGTATGGCCACACCATGATCCCTTCTCCTCCAATCTCCCCTCAGGAAGAGACACACACTCATGCCCAACTTGCCCTGGGTCCAGGACTCAAACAGTGCAGTGAGCCATGTGGGATCTTTAATCTCCATACCACCTGCTGGCTCCAGGTGTAATATAATGCTTGAACTGTTTATAAAAATTAACAGCTTGGGGTCGGAAGGTGGCAGGTGGTTGGGGTGTGGACTACCACATGGCCAACCATGGTTCAAGCCCTGTACCTGGAGGCTTGCTTTCTCATTTTCTATCTCTCTGTCGCTCTCTGGTGAGCATATGTGCCCTGTAGCAAATTAAGAAATAATAACAATGATGAATAAAATTAAATAAATAATTCTAAAAAAAATTAACAGCTATTTTAAGGGGAAGGAGAATTTTCTTTTTTCGACTAAAGCAACAATAGTAATAAATAAAAGTTTTAGTAAATATGACAAATAGCATATTCTTCAAAACCATACTTGAAAAACCAAAATTTGTACCTACTGAAGAAAATTAAAAAGCAGCAGCAACTTATGTACCTTCATTTTCCGTGAAGGGTTTCATCCTGTTCTTTAGAAACCTGTTCATTTCTCCATTATGGCACATTTCCAATACCAGGTAAACATAATTGTTATCTTCAAAATAGTTATAAAGCTGAAATGTAAAAGGGCTTAATAAATTATCACATATAACAATTGAGTCTTCCCAGGCACTTCTATAAAATCTATATCTTACCTCCAAGATAGAAGGATGTTTCAATTGGCAGTGTATTTTCACCTCATTTTGGACTCTCTGTACCATTCCAGCTTTGTACATAGCTTTCTTATCTATCTAAAAATAAGAAAGGAGAGTTTAAATATTGATGATAAATTTCTAAATGTGAAGTTGTAAGCCAATTTGGAAAAGAAAGTATACTACCATTTAAAATAGTCTGAAATCCTCTTATCTACATCTTGAAGTCAACTTAGTCTATTGCCTATTTTCCCATGTACCTGTCTGAGTGCTTGGCAGAGAGACCTTTTTGTTTTTTTTTTTAAAAGAATCATTTATTTGTTTCTTTGTTTATTTATTATTATTATTATTATCTGCTAGTTTGATCAGAGAAAGACAGAGAAGGAGAGAGAGGGAAAGAGAAAGCAAGCCATCAGGTATAAGTTTGAATAATGGTTGGCCATGTTGGAAGTCCAGCGCCTTTAACCTTCATGCCACCTGCTAGCCCCTTGGCTGAGACCTCTAACAAAACTTTGCCTGGGGCCGGCAGGTGGCATAGTGATTAAAGCATTGGCATCCCATGGGGCTGACCAAGGTTTGAATCCTGGATTGCGGGGCTTGAAAGTTATACCTGGGCACATGCATGCCCAAAATCCCAAGAAGAGAATGAAGGAGAAGGCATTGCTATATGGCCATCGCCCCTGGGGGCATGATTTCTCACTATTTGTCTCGCTGTTTCTGTCTTCCTAGTGAGTATATGTGCCCTATAGCAAATATCTCCCTATATAAATAAATAAATACAGATAAATGTATGTTTGCTGAGTGCTTTCTAATACTTTCTCAATTTAATAACAAACTAGCAAAATTACTTATCTATAAGAAAAGAGAACCCAAATTTAGCCATATAAACAATCTTTCTCTCCCTTTTTCCACTGTTACAGGTAAATGACTCTCAAGTTTTGCTTATGTTCTATTAGACTGACTTCTAAAAATAATAGTATTTTGTGGGCCAGGAAGTATCTAAGCAGTAATGCAACTGGACCCACATGGGCAAGTTTCTGGGTTCCCCTTCTAAGACCTCTCTGAACACACTGTGGCAGTGCCTGTGATCTGGACAGTCTGAGACTGGAGGGAGATGCCAGTGAGAGGACCCTGCTGGTGATTATCTTTCTGCCTCTCTTTCATGGAAGAAATAAGATAAATCAACTAAATAAAAAAGAAGAGTATTCTGGTTTACTTGTCACAGTGTAATACAGAACTATACACAAGTGCATTCTTCTTATAAACCAATTATTTGTTATTGGATTTTTATCCACTATTCCATGTATGCATAATTACAACATACATCAGGCCTTTGCATGAATGAAGATAAAATGCCTATTTAAAGCAAGGTCAAGGTTTTCCTAAATTGAGCTTAAACTCAGTTGCCGGATTTGACACTGCAGTCTTCTACCTATGCAGTATGTTCTTTACACCTTAACCAAACAAAGGCAGGTGAGTAAGAGTTTCTGACATCTCAAATACTTCGCTGTAGTTCCTTGCAAAGTACAAGAGATAACTTGCTTAGTATGTTCTTACCATTTTGATTGCAACTTCCAAACCAGAGTGAATGGACTCCGCTCTGTAGACACCAGCAAACGATCCTTTACCAAGCAGATTTCCAACTTTAAAATCCTTAAAAGTGAAAATGAAAGATTTTATTATTGATGACAAGACTCACAGGAGTTCACAGGTAAAAAGGCAAGAAGGAGCTGGAAAAGGAAGATAAAAGGGATGGAAAAGGGATTTTGCTAAAATTCAAGCAGGTTTCATTGTATCACACCTCGATACAGCAAGTGTCTGCGGTGTGAGGCATGCTGATCCCTCGCGGGACCCCCAGAGCGTCCAGGTTGAGCAGGAGATGGAGCACCCTAATAACCCGGTTCCTCAGCTCAGTGCAGTCTCAGCGTCTTCCTACCCACAGCCAACCTGAGGGAGCCGCAGGCCGGGGCAGGGGTCCGGCGCGGGCCCTGCCGAGCA